GATTCATGCAGTCAGTAACTGCATCTGACATGCCCTTGACTGCACGCTCAAAGCTGTTACTAAGAGCTTCCATTCTTAAGACTGTTGTTTCAAACAGTTTACTCATCAGGGTCTCGGAATTGACAGTGTTTTCGTTAGACAATTCAATTATTTTAGTTAAATTTGAGTCGGATTTTACCAGTAATTTTTCTAGGTTTCTATTTGAAAGGGTAATGACCTTTTCCAAATTCTCATTTGATTTTTCTAGAATTCTATCGAGGCATTTAATGAAATTTTCATTAGTTCTATCCAAAGTTTTGGAAATTATCAACTCAAAGTTTTCATTGGAAAGATTTTTAGCCATGGCAAATAACGGTGAACAGTATTTAATGAAATATTTACGAATTTAGAAAACAAAAAGCGATAATTTTAAAAATCAACAAGACGTACCCTATAATTTTTGTAAAAACAATCAGAGATTTTTACAACTAATTTAAAAATTGACACCAAGAACGATCTATACCGAATTACTTTTATAAATAACAACATTTTTTGCTATTGATAAATTTTTTCATTCAAAATATTAATTTTGATATTTTAATAGACTTTTTTTTCTCATTTCACATAACGATATATCAATAATAGATTTCTGTATTGAACCTGGAGAAAATAGAAAAATAAAACGATTAAAAAAACCATCGTTGCTGCTTTATTGCGAAAAATAGTTTTTTAATTTTTGCGAAATATGCATCGCAACGCATGCTAAGTACACCTGTAAATAAAATTACACGGTAATTGTTTCATTTCGTTTTTTATTTTAAGCTAATGAAACTCATCTAATAACTCAAAATTTTTTATGTTTCATAAAATAAATTATGAAGCACTCAATTGTTATGAAAAAATAGTCTCATCTCACTTAGCCAATTTTTTTTCTTGTTAAACATTGACAAAATGAAAAAAATCACTAAGTCAAAAATTTTTGTTGCAAAGAATACTACGTTTTTTAATGTTTGCATACATTATAAATAGAGATATTTTTAATGACATCTTCTAACTTTGAAATAACATTTAANAGTTATATACCAACAATTTTTAAATCTTAAATTATGAATTTTCTATTTCAACGTTTTGATTTATTA